ACACACACACACACACACACACACACACACACACACACACACACACACACACACACACACACACACACACACAAACATACACATCACACCCATTACACACAAACATACACATGTCACACACATTGCACCCAATGCATATGTATGTACACACGCGTGCACACTGCAGTGAGTTTGATGCGGACAAGTACTTTGCGACAGAGAAGCAGCTGCACATGAAGTTGCGCAATGGGCAGCAGCAACCACAGCCAGAGGAAGCGCGAATGGGTGGAGGGTTTCAAGAGGATGATGAGGATGAGGAAGCCACGCTGTCTGGTGCTCCTGAAGATGCACAAGCACAGGTATCTGTTGAAGCACGTGAGCATGAAGTGCACGACGACGATGGTGATGACGATGAAGATGCGTTTCACGACTGCAACACGGGCCAATGCCACCGGGAAGAACACCGTGATGGCAGCGCCAATCTCGATGCTGATACTGCTGTCGCTGCCGCACTCGCCGACCTCGCCTTTCACGTGCAGCGGACACACGTCTGAACCAGTGCATGTGTGTGTGTCTCTGTGTGTCTGTGTGTGTGTGTGTGTGTGTGTGTGTGTGTGTGTGTGTGTGTGCGTGTCTGTGCATGTCTGTGTGTCTGTACCTTTGTGCCTGTGTGTCTGTGTCTGTCTGCGTCCGTCCGTCCGACTTCCTGCGTGTGTGCTTTTTCCAAACCACACCGACACCCCCGCACACATGTACGCAACCACGCCTTCACGCTTGATTCACTTGAACCACCGCTGCCGTTACCCCCTGCTGACCTAATGGACTGGACGAATAGAGCGTTAGTTGTGTACTTCGGGCGTAACAAATTCAGCGAGCACAGCGCAATGCAAACAGCTGGAAAGGAGCACAGGCACGGTGATGTGAGATGCACACAGAGGAAGGAGGCGAGAGAGACAGCCGGCACAGGTTGCCGCAGACACGAACATGTCATGGCTCGGCCCCACACGAAAACCACGCACGACACACAGGCCATTGTCCCCTGTTGGCTAACCCAACAGGCATGTCTTCACACAACAACATGATTGTGATGTCCATCACATTGTTCAACAAAAGGGTATTTCATCACTCCCATCGACGTCAGTGTCACCCCCTTACTCCCCGAGCACCAACCATCACCACCACCACACCTGTAACCACAACACCATGCCAACCACCACCACCACCACCACCACCCTCCCTCACATTATCTGTCTGCTGTCACACAGCCACCTCGCCGTGCTGCCGCAAGATTTCCCCGAGCTCCGGCAGCTCCTCCATCACCTTTCGCTGAAACTCTTTGTAGCGCATGAACGCGCACTCGCATATCGGGGGCTTGTTCTTGCGGCGCATGATCACGCGGAACTGGGCCACCGTCTTGGTCACGGGCTTTGGGCACGCGGTGAAGTGGAACATGTACACGGCGTCGCAGTCCGACGTCTCGGCAACGGAGAGGTGGTCAAACTGGTAGTTGTACAGGCAGCGCGGCACCTGCAGCACGTTGGTGTTGACCGCGGTGAAGTAGTAGGTGAGGAACCCCTGCAGGGTGGCAGACCCGTACTGGTCTGGCGGGATGAAGCCGTGGTTGTACCACCCGGTCTCGCGGTGGTAGGCGTTGGGGGCGATGATGCGGTTGCGCATGTCCAGGAAGGTGCGCTTGTTTGGGCGGATGACCTGCATGCCGCCGTTGACGTGGCTCTTTGGCCCGTTGGTGAACACCATGTCCACGTCCGGGGTGAAGAGGTGGTCGATGCTCTTGGTGAAGAATGTGTCCGAGTCGACCACCAGCACCTTGTCGTACTGGTCAAAGGACCACGGCCAAAGAAAGTCGTAGTCCAGCAGGCCGATGCCAGCGAGCGCCTTGTCGTGCAGCACGGTCTTGAAGTACGGGTCGGTGACGTACTTGGTCTTGATGGCCAGCGGGCGCTCGACAACCCTCATGTTGCATGCACGCACGATGCGATGCGTCTCGTCCGTGAACGCCCAGGAGGTGTTGCGTGTGATGAGGACGTACTCCACGTTCTGGAACCGCGTGTGCTGGCGAAAGCTCTGGAACATGAGGCACATGGAATACACGTACTTGGCCACCTTGCTGGCGTGCTCCCTGGTGAGCGGCGCGGCGAGCGACGCCACGCCAATGCGCATGGTGCGCAGCTGCTCCTCTGTGGGGTCCGGCGGGCGGTCGAAGGTGACCGACGCCGGCAGCGGAACTGCCACGCGCCGGTCGCTTTGGCTCTTGAACTGGGGGTGTACGTACGGCAGGTCGTCGTCGCTCAGCTCGATTGTATCGCCCAGGTCAGCAGATTCCAGGCCAACGTCTAAGTTTCCAGCGACGTTCTCGTGTGCCAACGCCAGCAGCCCAAACACAACTGCTGCAACCGCCCAACCTGCTGCTACCGGCAGCCATCTTACACGCATGGTCGCGCAATGGTGTGACAAGTGGGTCCTGTGAGTGAGTGAACGGAGCAGGGCGTGTGGGGGGGGTGAGAGGCCCAGCAGCGAGTGATGTGAGTGATGTGATGTGAGCGAAGAACAAGTCGTTGTTGGTTGGTGGTGTGTGGTGTGCAACCGCCGCTGTCTTGGGGGCCTGTCTTGGGACAGTTTCCAACAGCACAAAAAATCATGTCGTTGATGGGTTCTTTGGCGACAGCGGCGACAGCGATGAGTCAGGTCAGCAGCGGTCATGCATGGATCGTCTGGTGTGTGTGCGTGTGTGTGTGTGTGTGTGTGTGTGTGTGTGTGTGTGTGTGTGTGTGTGTGTGTGTGTGTGTGTGTGTGTGTGTGTGTGTGTGTGTGTGTGTGTGTGTGTGTGGTATGTGTTGTGTGCGGTATGTGTTGTGTGTGTGGAGGATTAAATCGCTGCGTGGGAGAGCAGCTGTTGTGTTGGTGCTGCTGTCACATCATGCATTTGTCGCTCTTGATGGGGGTTTTGTTGTTCTTGTACTCATTCGTAGCATGCATCGTTCAACATGTTGACGTATTCGTGGGACAGAGTGGGCCATGGAAAGCGGCTATTGCGCAGCAATTGGATCGGCTCTCCCACCGATATGACGGGATTGCGCCGCTTTTTGACGCCTGTGCGTGTTGAGGCGTGTGTTTGTGTTTCTGTTTGTGTTTGTATGTACGTGCGTTTGTGCTGATTTGTGTGTGTGTGTGTGTGTGTTGATTTGTGTGTGTGTGTGTATGTATGTGTGTGTGTCTGCGTAACGTTGTGCGTGTGTATGTGTGTATCTGCGACCTTGCCCATGCTGAGCCAAGTGTGTTCCTGAAACCGCAGAGCTGAGCCACATCTGCACCAGCCACACGCTGCTCATGTGTTGCTTGTGCTGATTGCTGTTTTAGATACACGCTTACTCAAACAAAACAAGCAACTGAAGGACGAGAACAGGGTCATCAAGGATGAGTTGGATGAAGCAAAGGAGGTGAGGCCTGTGGATTTGCGTGTGTGCTTGTGTGAATTTGTGCTTTGTGTGTGTGTGTGTGTGTGTGTGTGTGTGTGTGTGTGTGTGTGTGTGTGTGTGTGTGACGTTTCCCTGCATGACCTTGACATGTCATTCTCACCATGTTCATGCTTTCCTGTTGTGGCGATTGAATGCGCTTCATGCAGGAGATGATTGCGCGACGACGCTCAAAGTGAGATCCGTGTGCGCGTGTGTGTCTGTGTCTGTGTGCCTCTGTTTCTGTCAGCCATAGCCTACGTTAACGCTGCACTCACACTGCACTCACGTTAACTGGCATTCGTGCTTGCACCACCACCCTCACCACTCCCTCTCCCTCTCCCCCCCCCCTATCTCCCTCTCCTTCAACAACTATCACAGCACACGGTCCGGGCGAAAAGCAAAGGACAACGTCGTGGATGCAGTGGAGTTCGAGAAACTACACACGCGATACAGCGAGCAGTGTGAGGAGCTCCTGCGCGTGTACAAGGAGCGCGCACAGGTACTATGCGTGTGTGTGTCTGTCTGTCTGTCTGTCTGTCTGTCTGTGTGTGTGTGTGAATGTGTGTCTGTGTGTGTGTGTGTTTCTGTGTTTGTGTGTGTGTCCGTTTCTGTGTCTGTGTTTGTCTCATCACGTTCTCCCGTGTTCAGTGCGCTGCTCGTGTGACACACACACACATACACACACCGCCCGCGCGCGCGTACGTCGTGCCTTCACCTCATCCCCCTTCACCTCTTTCCTCGCTCGTTGATTCAGGTGAATCACAGCGAATTGTTGGCGCGGCAGCGGGCGCAAGACCTTGAGGCGGAAATGACCGAGCTCAAACAACGGTGTGTGTGTGTGTGTGTGTGTGTCTGTGTGTCTGTGTGTGTCTGTGTCTGTCTGTTGTGTCTGTGTGTGTGTGTGTGTGTGTGTGTCTGTCTGTCTGTTGTGTCTGTGTCTGTGTGTGTGTGTGTCTGTGCACACGCTTTCCATGCGTATGCAGGGTGAGTACATTTCGGTATTGCTGCGTCCCACACGCGACCCGCGGTGATGCATGTTTTTTCGGCCGCTCAAAACTGCGTATTCACGCCTCTCATGCACTGTTTCTGCACTGTGGCTCGCTGTGTATTCCTGGCAGACTGGAGAGGGCGGAAGAGGCGAAAGGATCGCACCTGGAGCTCATCGAGACCCTCAACTCAATGATCGATCAGAGAGACATGTCAATATCGGTGCGTTTGTGTGTGTGTGTGTGTGTGTCTATATGCGTGTGTGTGTGTGTGTGTGTGTGTCTATATGCGTGTGTGTGTGTGTGCTAGTAGGAAAAGGCCGCGTTGCGGTTTGGACCATGCTTACCAGTTCTTCGAATGGTTCACCGCATGTGAGATGCCCCCTCCCTCACACTGCCCGCACTTGCGTCTCTATCGACGGCTTGCAGTCGCTCAAGGACGAGCTGAGCGCGCTGTCGCTGCAGTACACACTCGTGGAGGAGAAGCGGCAGGAGGTGGAGCAGGAGCGAAACGAACTCGTGAGTCACCGACGACCTGACGCCCATTTGCATGCCTCCCTTCTCTCGCCGTTTTCCTTTGCTTTTGCTGCTGCGCATCATCAACATCTAACACGTACCCGTGTGCACTCGCACACACACACACGCACGCACACACATGCACGCACGCACACACATATGCTTCAGCTATCGCGCATGCTTGAGATGAAGCAGCAGCAAGCAGACATGCAGAACGACCTGCTGGCGGAGGTTACGCGGAAACGCCACGAGAAGATTGCAAAGGACATTGAGGATGCGCAGAAGGTGGACAACGGGAGTAGGGATGCGTGGGTCAGACAGATCACTGTTAATGAAGAGAGTTGTCGTTTGCGTGACGCGCGCGCGTGTGTATGTATGTATGTGTGGGTGTGTGGGTGTGTGGGTGTATGTATGTGTGTGTGTGTGTGTGTGGGTGTGGGTGTGGGTGTGGGTGTGGGTGTGGGTGTGGGTGTGGGTGTGTGAGTGGGTGGGTGGGTTTGGGTGTGGGTGGGTGTTTTAGGGTTTTGTTTTGGGGTTTGTTTGTTGCTGTCCCCGTCACTCCCTTGGCCTCACGTTTTGGGGATGGCCTTTGTGCTTGCATATGAACATCGTCAGGAGCTGCCGGATGCCGACGAAATGCCATCCATCCTGCGCCTCGGACTGCCAACAAAAGCAACACACAACCTGGTGCGTGTTTGCTGCTGTTGTTGCTGTTGTTGTTGTTGTTGTTGTTGTTGTTGTTGTTGTTGTTGTTGTTATTGTTGTTGTTGTGCGTGTGTGCGCGTCTGTGTCCGTCCGCCCGTCCATCCGCCTGTGTGCCCAAACATTCATGTAAAAGTGCCTCAGCCACACCGTGCCTGCACACCTTGTTCGTGCCCTTTTTCCTGCCTCCGTGCTTGCCTCGTCCACCCAATCCTACCTTCACATGTGTGTGTGCAGGATGCCCATCCTGGCGGTGCGTTTAGCGTCGCCCATTCGTGCAGCGGCTCCCTCTTTGCCAGCGGCGGTGCAGACGCCACCGTCAAAGTCTGGAACTCTTCTGGTGCGTATGTGCCATAACCGCAGCCCTGCTCTCTGCTGATCAGCCGAGGCGCACACGCTCCATGCAGTTGAGTGTTTTGGTTGTGTCACGCTGCTGATGTTGCTGTTTACGAACCGCATCTCCACAGGGCACAATACCCAGTCACTGCGTGAGCACACGGGCACTGTGACGTGCATCGACTTTGCGCCCGCCGGAGACACCATGGTCTCCGCCTCCAACGACAAGAGCGTCCTCATCTGGTCCCTTCGAACAAGCCGGTCAACGGTTGGTCGGTCTGTGTGTGTGTGTGTGTGTGTGTGTGTGTGTGTGTGTGTGTGTGTGTGTGTGTGTGTGTGTGGTGTGTGTGTGTGTTTTGTGAGTGTATGTGTGTGTGTTGTGTGTGTTGTGTGTGTGTGTGTGTTTGCCTGCGCCTGTGGGTTGATTCGGTTATTTGGGTGGCTGAAGAGTTTCGGTGACCAAAAGTGTGCGTTCTTGCCTCGCCTGTCTCGTGATTGGACTTGTTGGTTCATGTGCGCACCACTACGCACGTGTACATGCCGATGTCAAGACAAAGTGTGTTGTTGCCCACTCACGTGTGTTGAAACGTCTTGTGTGGAACCCCGCCGATCCAGTTTCGCTGCACCGGACACACTGACAAAGTGTACACGGCACGGTTCCTTGGGCACACGAAAGTGGTGCGATAACTGCGCCTCTGCACGAGCTGTTGTTGTTGTTGTTGTTGTTGTTGTTGTTGTTGTTGTTGTTGTTGTTGTTGTTGTTGTTGTTGTTGTTGTTGCTCTGTCACCACTGACAAACAGTATGATTGCGTTTGCCATTGGCAGGTGTCTGCGAGTCAAGACCGCACGATGAAGGTTGGCGCGGGCATGCACCTGCTCTTTGTTGCTACTGGCTTCCTTGTGAATGTTCGTGACGTGTTACACAAGTTGCTCGCATTGGCGCTGCGTGTTTGTTCTGCAGCTGACCATGCTTTACTCGCTTGTTATCCGCTGCTGCCTTGCCTTCGTGTTCGTCAGCTCTGGAACGCCGCCCGTGGTATTTCGGAACGCACATACCTCCTGCACTCCACATGCTACGACATCGCCTCAGTGGATGGGTGAGAGACAACGCGAGTCAATACACGCATGCACACACACACAACACACACACGCATGCACACACACACACACACATGTGTTTCGCCTGTGCGCGCTCCCTCGCAAACAATGACACGCAACCCCCACCTCGCGTCACGCGGCTGCAGCCCGCGATTCTTGAGCGGCCACTTTGACAAGTACGTTCGAGAATGGGACACTAGGCAGAGCGGGACAAAGCCTGTTCGGGAGCTCAACACCGAGCACCGCGAGGCCATTGTTGCCGTGGCATTGTCTCCAACCAGGTGAACAGTTTCAACGGTGCTCGTGCACTGCTACCTCTGTGTATGCGCTGTGTGTGTGCGTGTGTGTCGCCGTCTACGTGCGGGTGTGTCTGGTACGCCTGCAGTGCATGGTGTCATCTACGTGTTCGTGTCTGTGCGTGTCTGTCTGCCCGTCTTCTATGTGCGACTGTCTGCATCTACGTGTGTGCTTTCGGCCCAACCATGTGTTGTTTTCTCTGCCTCAACGTCCAAACCTGCCTGTGTTGTGGCTGCCAGAGACTATCTCTTGACGAGCTGTCGAGACGGGCAGCTGAAACTCGTGGACTTGCTCCAAATGCGTGTTGTCAAGTCATTCACCTCCGATGACGCGACGGGTCAATCGGCGTGCCACCCAAGCTTCAGGTACCACCACACCGTGAACATGTTGTCGCGTTATCAACGCATGGTACAACCAGGCGTGGTTCCTCACGTTGCTGTGCTGCGCTCACCTCCATGCCAACGTGTTTATGCCTTATCGTGCGTGTGCGCGTGTATCCGTGTGTGTGTGTGTGTGTGTGTGTGTGTGTGTGTGTGTGTGCATCCGTGTGTCTGCGTGCATCCGTGTGTGTGTGTGTGTGTCTGTGTGTGTGTCTGTGTGTGTCTGTGTGTGTGTCTGTGTCTGTTTGTCTGTGTGTCTGTGTGTCTGTGTGTCTGTGTGTCTGCGTGTTCGCAGCCCCGACGGTGCACACTTTGCGGTCGGTCGCCAGTCAGGCGTCATTGAGATCTGGAACATTCACAAGACGGAGATTGTGCAGACACTTTCCAGCGCCTGTCACGCGTAAGCGTGTGGGGGGCTCGGGCTGGCTTGACGCGTGCTGTTTGCATGGTGTTCTTTTCGTTCTTCTTCGGGGTTTGTGTTGGCTCGGGACTGTTGGAGCCTCTGACCTGCTGTGCGTGTCAGCTTCCTCCTCACACTATGCTTTCGTCATTTTTTTATCCTTATCGTCGTTCTGTCTCTGCTGCCTGCTCGACTGATCTGCGTCTGCAGGGGCCCCGTAAACTGCGTGTCATGGGGATCATCTGAGGTACAGTACTTCTGCTGCGTGCCTGCCCTGCTTCGAACCACCTACTTTCTTGGGTATGACGCCTTTTTTCTGCCGAAACCCTCACAGTTGTGTGTGTGTGTGTGTGTGTGTGTGTGTGTGTGTGTGTGTGTGTGTGTGTGTGTGTGTGCGTGCGTGTATGTCATCACAGCTTGTGTCCGCTGGAAAGGACGGCAGATTAATCGTGTGGGAGGACGACTCCCTGTCAACATGATGCACACCTCCTCTTGTTGGACTTTTATGTAGTACGGTGGCATAAAAATAGAACATTTTACATCAAAGATCGTCAAAGCTTCAGTTTCCTGAACAAACGAACATGACAGAACACAAGAGAGGTAACAGATCGTTAGGAGAACAAACACCATCCAAACAGTACGATGCCTCGAAGGGCAAGAGAGGGGAAAGAAAGCGTAGGGAGCAGGTGAGACGAAGAGAGACACAGGGAGGCAGACAAGCGACACTACATACGTCGACGGTGTGGCCGCGTGGCTGTGCTTGATACTGCGCATATCCTGGAAATGGCCTGTACAAGCAGTGTATCTGTCACGTGCGGCATAGATGCGAAGTATTAGCCCTTCAAACGACCGTGTCCGGAGCGATACAAGCACGTTTAACCCAGGTCCTGCTGCATTCCTGTCACCCCCGAAGTTGCTGTTGATGTTGACAGGCAAGTCCTGTCCGCTGAGTCACAGCATTGACCTCTCTTCTTGACCACCATGAGTGTCCAGCACCTGCTTGTGTAGATGCAAATGTTGCAAGTTCATGATGGTGCTGTTGTTGGAGACTTGTGTGTGTGTGCTGTGTGTGCTGTGTGTGCTGTGTGTTGTGTGTGCTGTGTGTGCTGTGTGTTGTGTGGGAGATTGTCTTGGCAAGAGGAAGTTGTGTGTGTTTACTTGAGTTGTGAAGCAAACAAGGATGTAGGATGAATGAACACTCCAACAGAAAGAAACAGAGCAGAAGACAAGAATTGTCGACAACGCAAAGTGGTGACGTGGCAGTGTTTGTTGAGAGTTGTGTGGTTATGTGGTGTGTTATGCAAGAGCATGTAACATCGAGCAACCACACAAGCTAAACACTGCACGTGCAACAGGTTGGAGGGAAATCACGTGAACATTCCAGAACACAAGAGAGGTGAATGTGAATTTGTGCTGTCGTGAAGAAGGGAGGCCAATGATGACTCAGCAGACAGGACTTGCCTGTCAACAGCAAGCGCACCTTGTAGCGGGCGAACCCGAGGCTGACAACAAATCCGAGGCCGACACCAGTCATCCCGCGCACCTTCGTACGTTTTCCTCCATCGGTCTCGGCATACCACGCGCGAACGTAATCCAAATCTCAAGGTGCGTGAGTGTGAGCATAAGTGTGAATGTGCTTGTGTGAAAATATGTGTGTATGTGTAATATGTGTGTATGTGCAACAGTGTGCGTGTGGATGTGATGTGCGAGAGTGTGAGAGAGAGACACGCACCAACTGCCACCTCACATGCACACGCGCGCATCTCTTTTTGACAGTCCATTCAAAGCTTGTTCCACTCACCCTTGCCCGTTTGACGCATGCCTTGCAGATACATACGTGGGGGATATGCGCTGGGCGGTGACCGAAGCTATTCGGGATATGAACCTGAAGTGCGCGAAGGAGCACGACATACTTGGTGAGTAACAGGAGCTCGCACAAACAACGAGGAAACGCTACGTTCAAGCCAAGATCGACTTTCGCAAGACAGGCAAGTGGGACAAGGAAGTCAAAACGCCCACCGAGCCAGCTACGTTTTCAAGCAAGGTCGTTGAGCTGTCAGCCCACGGCATGGGCAGGGTGTGCACCCGCATGCGCCAGCATGCACGCAACAAGGAGGCTCGCCAACTTGACCCACAGGGAATCGAGCGTTTCTTCGGCGACCGAGTGCCAACACGGCCATCTTTCATGTCTGCCTCTGCGGTACACCATACTTGCACACTTGAAGTTGGCGATGTTCCAAACGTAAATGTACCTCGGTGTCTTGTGCGTGTGTGTGTGTGTACAAGTGGGTGAGAGTGTGAGCATGAGAGTGAATGTGTATGTGTGTTATGATGTGGAGGTTGTGTGTATAGAAGTGTGGGTGTGTATGTGCGCGTTATCAATGGCGAAAGAAGCCGTTGTATTGAGGTAGACGAGGAAGTAAAAACAATGAATCAACAGCATACAACAAGTGACGAGTAGGAACAGCGAGCGTGCGGTGAACAAGGACCAACAGTGAACAAGTGACTTGATCTGAACAAGGGGGACATAATGAACATAGGGCGTCCCGAACGAAATGAACAAGGAAGAGTTGTTCGCGCTTAGGATGTGACGTAGTGAATGACATCACTACACTCTCCCTCCTCTTCGAGAACGACGTGGCTGTCGTTGAGGATTGCCTTGCCCTTGTGCTTCCAGTCTCGCGATGTGAAGTTGATAGTCTGCGAGAATCTCTTTGGCTCGCTTGCCAATAAAGGCGTGAGCAGGCTCGTAGGTGGCTTCGTGTTCTGGGTAGCCCAGCCATTTTACCAAATAGAACATTCTTGCTCTTCTCTTTTGATGGTGCAAGATTCGTTCGACTGCAAAGTCGTTGCTGCGTTTGACACTGATACGGCCTGGTCGAGTAATCGCGTGTGTCGTCTTGGTTCGTTTGAGGAACTTCACATTGATGACGTCATGAATCCTGACCTTGAGAGGAGAAAAGTCAATCCTGTATGCGCTTTCCGGTGAGAGCAAATCCGGGGCAAAATTTGCTTTGCGCTTGCCGGATAGTGAATCAATGCGACTCCACTAAAGTCAGTGCCAATCAATAAAATTCGAGTTGAACGTGCTTGTGCTGAGGACGACAATTCTTGCCAGACATGCTTCAGTTTTCGCGCCAAGGTGCTTGTTCGCAACAACCATGAACGCTGAGCGTACGACCTCAAGTGATCCTGCGATGGTAGGGTCTACCGTACAAGCTTCCTTCGTTCCTGTACCGGAGACGCAGAGTACCTCATCAAGTGCTTCGCAGTTCACGCTTCAGAGTGTACCAGACACGCTTGTTGGTGACATGTTTGCAGGTATGCAGCACGTCGTACAGCCCCAGCTGTTGACATCACTGTTCCAGTGTCAATGCTCGCTGAGTCAGCAAATTCTGCTGTAAACGTTTCTGTGCACGTGCGCCCAGAAACGGGCGTTTCTGGTTGTTTTGCCACGTGGCACTTCTCTCTCTCCTCCAGTTTTCTGTCTATGTGTGAGAGTGTCTCTCAGTTCATGTTCATTCATCCTACATCCTTGTTTGCTTCACAACTCAAGTAAACACACACAACTTCCTCTTGCCAAGACAATCTCCCACACAACACACAGCACACACAGCACACACACACACACAAGTCTCCAACAGCAGCAGCACCACCATGAACTTACAACAGATTATGAGACCCAGCTCAATTAGCGCAGACGGCATCAAGGTCTTCGCTGGCGCTGAGCAGGATGCCAACCTCTTCTTCATCACCGTCGAGGCCAAGCTCATCGCCGCTGGCATCGACGCTGGCATCATCGCCGAGGGTGGTGCTGACCACCAAGGAGACGGGCAGGCTCCAGCAGCTGCCTCATCGCCGAGCCCAAGCACCCACGGTGCTTCGGGTCCCCGCACTCGCTCCCGCGCTCAACGCGGCCCTCGCCGCACTGGCGTCCGCCACGACGCGGGGGACCACGACGACGATGACGACGACGAGGGCGATGGCGACGACCACGGCGCTCACCCATCTTCCTCCTCTTCCTCTCTCCCTTCTTCCGCCACTCCGAGCGGAGGAGCGCAGGTGGCGTCCCGAGCCTCTGGCCTGCTGGATCCCCGTGATCCACAGGTTGACGCAGCCATCTTCGCGTTCCTCCTTGGCGTCCTGAGCGGGACACCCGCTGCGGCTGGCCATCACCGACAACCGTGGCCGCTCCGGTGTGCTTGCGCTGCGCCGCCTCCGCGAGCGCTACATCCGCAGCGGCAAGGACCACGTCAGTCGTCCCTTCTTCCGCCACTCCGAGCGGAGGAGCGCAGGTGGCGTCCCGAGCCTCTGGCCTGCTGGATCCCCGTGATCCACAGGTTGACGCAGCCATCTTCGCGTTCCTCCTTGGCGTCCTGACAGGACACCCGTTGCGGCTGGCCATCACCGACAACCGTGGCCGCTCCGGTGTGCTTGCGCTGCGCCGCCTCCGCGAGCGCTACATCCGCAGCGGCAAGGACCACGTCAGTCGTCTCAGGCAGCAGCTCTCCTCGACCACCTGGTTGCCCACGGACACCGTCGACACGTTCATGTCCCGCATCACGGACATCAACTCGCAGCTCCTTGCTGCCGGCGTGTCCATCCCGGAGGACGACCTGCGCACCCTCGTCCGCAACGAACTCCCCGCAGAGTTTGATGTGGCGATGCGGTTCATGGAGCGCGAGGACCCGCCGCCATCGCTGTCCAAGATGACGGCGGACCTCATCCAGGAGGAGCGCCGCCTGCATCGTCCCAAGAAGCGCACGCCTGTGCTCGCCATCGGTGGGCCAAGCCCCGGCTCCTTCGCTGCATCGCCGATGCACGCTGGCACGTCGCCCTCCGACACGAGCGGTGGACCATGCTGTCCACCTGCAGAGCGCGTGACTTGCGCGTTCTGCAACTTCCGCGGCCACTGCGCGCAGCAGTGCCGCAAGCTGCAGGCGGCCAAGCGCTACCACGTCATCGACGTGCGGCAGATCCTGGCTACGCTTCGCAACCACGGCAACGGCAACGGCAAGCGGCCAGGATCCTCTCGCCCGCAGCACGGACGAGCAGCTCCATTCAAGAAGGCGGCCGTCGTCAGCCACGGCCCTCAGCGCGTGGAGACCTTCGCCATCCACCACGATGCCCTCATGCTGCAGCCCGAGGGCGAGGAGGGCCACGCCATCGGACCAGTGCCACCACAGCTGTGGCTCGCTGACAGCGGTGCCACGGCGCACATCACCAGCGACGCCTCCCTCCTCACCAACTACGTCGCCGTCACGCAGCACGTCACCGTTGCCAACAGCCAGACCGTCACGGTCATCGGCAAGGGCGACGCCGTGCTCCGCGTGACTGGTGTTGTGATGCAACTGTACCGCCTGACTACCGTGTGCTTTAAGTAGTCCTTTGACCTTATTGTAGGACGATTTTCATCTGCACATGCCATTCCGTTGGGCCTTGTGGTTTTGCCCTTTGCGTTCCTTGTTGTCGATCGCTTCCCCTCTCTGTCGTTGTGCCTTCGTGTGGCCCGGGCTGATGCCCGTGGCTGGCACTAGTAAACGTCCTTCTGTTCCCCTTTACCATGCGAAGCCCCTTTGTAACACTGGCACAGACGGCGCTCCAGGTACCATCACGCTGAAGAACGTGCTGCATGTCCCCGACATCAAGTACAACCTTCTGGCGCTGAACCTGGTGACTCGCGCGCGTCGTGGTGCTTCCGTCGTCATTGCTGCGGACGACAGCCGCATCCAGTTTGCCACATGGAGCGTGCCTCTGCTGCCGTCCAAGGACACCGGCCATCTCTTCCTCTACGCCAGCACCACGACCTCCCAACAAGCCACGGCGCTTGCGGGGGAGCTCGTGCACAGCAGCGATGGGGAAGCCGAGGATGCTGACGAGGGCGCCTCTGCACACGACGTGCTAGGCCATCGCAGCAGCGCGGCCGTCGACGCCATCCGGCAGCAGATTGCCCAGGCCTCTTCCAAGCACATCGTCACCTGTGGACCATGTGCGCTTGGCAAGAGCACGCGCGCCTCCATCCCGAAGCAGTCTGCTCCACGCAGCGCTGGGCCATGCCAGCTGCTCTACGCAGACATCGCCGGTCCGCTGGAGGAGACGTCGCTGCGAGGTGCACGCTACGCGCTGACCTTCATCGACGACTGCACGCGTTTCGCTGGACGTTTCTCATCCGGCACAGACGACGTCGGTGCGGCCCTGGAGCAGCTGC